GCATTGGCTTTCCAACTATTCAATAAACTACTATTTATGTTATGGTCCTTTGAAGTAGAGATTTCAGCACTGCAATAACCATTAATCTCTATTACCCAATGCCATCACGACAGTCGTAGCTTGCGGGTCGTTTTGTGGATCTCTGACGTGTGTTTGATGTTTGGAAATACAACAATGTGTTTAATCCCGTGTACAGTCCTGTGGGTCGCTGTGACTATTCCCTGATAACGCTTGTCGTCAATATTCACTGTGAGAGGTGGTAGCTGGGCGCATTGACGTCCAACTCCAGTCAGGCTTTAATATAACTTGTCTGAAATCTTATCTTAACTGAATGTATTGGCCGGACTATTGATCTGACCAGATGCGATTGTCACAACGCCGTGAAGTGATCTGAAGATTGCTAGGCCTAACTTTCTCGAAATTGCCACAGCTCATCGTCAAATAACTGTAAGGTTGCCGTACCTAATTGTCACATGCATTACCACTATGCAGATCTCCTTCATAAAGCTGTGCGACCACTGACTGTAGCTCTCTCATACTTTACCACCATACCGATTATCGTCAAGCAGCTGTGCGATCACTGGATTCAGCTCTCTTATACTTTACCACAATGCCGACCATCGTAGTTGCGCGATCTCTGGGTTCAGCTCTCTTATACTTTACCACCATACAGACCATCGTAGTTGCGCGATCACTGGGTTTATAGTTGTGCGATCACTGGGTTTAGCTCTCTCTCATACTTTACAACCATGCCGACTATCGTAGTTATGCGATCACTGGGTTCAGCTCTCTCTCATACTTTTATTACCACAATGCCGACCATTGTAGTTGTGCGATCACTGGGTTCAGCTCTCTCTCATACTTTACCACAATGCCGACCATCGTAGTTGTGCGATCTCTGGGTTTATAGTTGTGCGATCACTGGATTAAGCTCTCTCATACTTTACAACAATGCCGACCATCGTAGTTGTGCGATCACTGGGTTTAGCTCTCTCTCATACTTTACCACAATGCCGACCATCGTAGTTGTGCGATCACTGGGTTTAGCTCTCTCTCATACTTTACCACAATGCCGACTATCGTAGTTTTGCGATCACTGGGTTTAGCTCACTCATACTTTACAACAATGCCGACCATCGTAGTTGTGCGATCACTGGGTTTAGCTCTCTCTCATACTTTACCACAATGCCGACCATCGTAGTTTTGCGATCACTGGGTTTAGCTCTCTCTCATACTTTACCACAATGCCGACCATCGTAGTTGTGCGATCTCTGGGTTTATAGTTGTGCGATCACTGGATTAAGCTCTCTCATACTTTACAACAATGCCGACCATCGTAGTTGTGCGATCACTGGGTTTAGCTCTCTCTCATACTTTACCACAATGCCGACCATCGTAGTTGTGCGATCACTGGGTTTAGCTCTCTCTCATACTTTACCACAATGCCGACTATCGAATTTTTGGCGATCACTGGGTTTAGCTCACTCATACTTTACCACAATGCCGACTATCGTAGTTGTGCGATCACTGGGTTTAGCTCTCTCTCATACTTTACCACAATGCCGACCATCGTAGTTGTGCGATCACTGGGTTTAGCTCTCTCTCAAACTTTACCTCAATGCCGACCATCGTAGTTGTGCGATCACTGGGTTTATAGTTGTGCGATCACTGGGTTTAGCTCTCTCTCATACTTTTATTACCACAATGCCGACCATTGTAGTTGTGCGATCTCTGGGTTCAGCTCTCTTATACTTTACCACCATACAGACCATCGTAGTTGCGCGATCACTGGGTTTATAGTTGTGCGATCACTGGGTTTAGCTCTCTCTCATACTTTACCACCATACAGATTACCCCTAGGTAGCCGTGCAATCACTGGGTCGAGCTCCCTCATACTTTACCACAATGCAGATCACCGTCAGGCAGCTGTGCAATCACTGGGGTAAGCTCTCTCATACTTTACCACCATACCGATTATCGTCAAGCAGCTGTGCGATCACTGGATTCAGCTCTCTTATACTTTACCACAATGCCGACCATTGTAGTTGTGCGATCTCTGGGTTCAGCTCTCTTATACTTTACCACCATACAGACCATCGTAGTTGCGCGATCACTGGGTTTATAGTTGTGCAATCACTGGGGTAAGCTCTCTCATACTTTACCACCATACCGATTATCGTCAAGCAGCTGTGCGAACACTGGATTCAGCTCTCTTATACTTTACCACAATGCCGACCATCGTAGTTTTGCGATCTCTGGGTTGAGCTCTCTCATACTTTACCACCATACCGATTAACGCCAGGTAGCCGTGCAATCACTAGATTTAGCTCTCTCATACTTTACCACCATACAGATCACCGTCAGGTCGCTGTGCGATCACTGGGGTAAGCTCTCTCATACTTTACCAGAATGCAGATCACCGTCAGGCACTGGTTTTAGCTCTCTTATATACTGCCACAATGCAAACTATCGTCATGTGGTTGTTCCCATGCTCGTCATTACTCTCTCGCACATTGACACAATGCAGATACTCGTCATCGCAATGTGATTCCCAAACATTGTTGGTTTTGAGGGTAGATATCCTGCATATTTGATAATAAGTCTGATTCACGTGCACTTGAGACAGCGACGCACATGTATGGTTGAAGTGACCAGCTTTATTCTCTATATGGCTGACTACATTCATATAGTTGAACTAGAATTACTCGCTCACTCGCTCGCTCGCTCTCACTCACTCACTCACTCACTCACTCACCAACTCACTCACTCACCCAAACCCTCGCTCACTCACCCACCCACCAACCCATACACTCACTCACTCACTCACTCACTCACTAACCCACCAACCCACCCAGTCACTCACTCACCCACCCACTCACTCACTCACTCACTCACTCACTCACTCACTCACTCACTCACTCACTCACTCACTCACTCACTCACTCACTCACTCACTATAAAAGTAAATTACCTTTAGCAATAACGATTAACAGGGTCTCGTAATAACACCAAGACGGTGACGTACGTAATCATTGAAAGCTGACCAGGGAGACCTCGACAGTCGAAGCCATATCTGGAACAGTTACACATTCACGATCGTCAAATAGCTCCCTTGGTACTGGTGCCAGATCTTTACTCGGCGTACTGACATGTCAGCAGTGACATTTCAGGCCAACACTTCTCATGTTGCAAGCTGGTAATGTCACGAGAGTGCTTTGGGCGTCCGTTCTGGCTTAACTCTCGTCATCAAGGGACTACTTATGCCTTTTATTTAAATACTCGGTAAATAGTTTTCTTTTAAAAAACCCATTACGCAGATGGTCGAAATAAGAATAAAGAGGAAATGACAAAAACAAGTTTTCACTTTAGAGGTATGAATTTGAATAAAAATGACAAACAGATCTGAATATTTCTTGGAATGGTAAGACGAATATTTTTACTTACCTCACCATGTTGATCTAAAGAGAAACCCCATTAATCCGGACAGCAGTGTCCCCCCTGAAATCGTGCGGATTAACGAATGTCCGGATTAACAAATCATCGGTCTCTTTGTACATATGTAAACGTTCTCAGCAATAATCTTCCAGAAGGCGAGGTTTCCGTATAAACGAATGCCGAATCAACGAATTCACTGTACATCCCAAAAAATATATTTCCTCAGTTTAAAAAAAACCAAATTTTTTGCTTGAAATGCTGGATAGTCTCAAACAATTTGTAGTGAACCAAAAAAAATTTAAATATTGTTCGTGAAAACTGCTCAGAAAATAAGAATGGTTTGAAGAAACTGTTTTCCGGTGGGTTGCATAGTAGACGTTCGATAGTTGATCGTTACGCTGGTGGCATCTAAGTTAGTAATGAAATTACCACTACTTTTGCGACGCCGTAAGATTACAGCGACAGATCTAATTGTGATCTCACGGGTGTTACTTTCTTCTTGGTGTACTGCCTTGTACATGTATACAAGAACTCTCTTTCCTTTTGAAAACATTGCTCGTTGAAGAATGTAATAGAGGTTAATTGCTTGAATGCATCCGTACATCTATTTAGTTCATGGCACTGTACCAATATAAACTGAACCTGATGTCAGCTTTAAGTACATGAAGTTATCCATACTTGTGACATCCGTTTTACTGATGTCAACTTTCAGTACATGAATTTATCCATACTTGTGAATTCCGTTTGACTGATGTCAACTTTAAGTACATGAAATTATATGTATTTGTAACATCTGTTTTACTGATATAAATTTTCAGTACATGAATTTATCCATGCTTGTGAGATTTGATTTACTGATGTTAACTTTCAGTACATGAAATCATCCATACTTGTGATATATGTATTAAATGTGAACTCTCAGTACATGAAGTTATCCATACTTGTGACATCCGTTTTACTGATGTCAACTTTCCATACTTGTGATATATGTAATAAATGTCCATTTTAAGAACCTGAAGTTATCCATACTTGTGCTATCTGTCACATTAATGTCAACTTGTCTTATATGACACTGTAATTGTGACATATGACATAGTGACGTCAACTTTTCTGAAAATGTGCTACATGTTGACATCACGCCATTGGCCATGTATAGCAGTGTGACTTTTTCATCAGATGTGTGAATAGTTATAAGTTGATTTCCTTCAAATTGTCCAGCATCATCACCATGAGGCAACCAATCATATGCGTCATATACATTCTTCCCTTTCGGGAAAACACTTCTTAACCACAAGGCTACCCCGCCACATCTTTTGTCTTAATAGTAAGTGAGATCGGTTTCTACACCACATTTTCATTGTTCGCGCCACATCAGCGCTGGGGACACCTTGATGTACTTCCCATAAAGTAATCATTTCGGAAATCTAACTCGGGCATGACGAACCAACATATTACCCACTAGGCTACCCACCAAGTCTTTAATCTTAAAGAAAATTATGAGACTTATTCCACAATTATCATCAGGTCATGGCTGAATATGTCAATCACAAATCAACATGGCTACATTTAACTAACAGCATTTATTCAACAAAGGCACAGGGCACTCTATGAGGATACACACGTTTATATTGATTTCAACATTAAACCTTACAGGTTATATTTTGATAAATTACCCTGATTGACTTGTTGACTAGCCCTGTCACGTACAATGTACAACCACCACAGAATTATATTCAGAATTAAGCTGAGAGTAATAAAGATACAAATGCATTGTTAATGTCTATTTCTGATATGACAGTCTCTTGATTTGTGCAAATGATACCAAGTACATAAAAAACATTGTGGATCTTTGTTACAACGGTTCCGTAGGTGATGCTCTTTGTAATAATCTTAGTTCTGTTATTGTAATCAACTGCAGAACACATTTGATAGGAAACCATACATAAAGAAATGTTGTGTAGCCGAAAAAAGAAAATTTATTTACTGACTGGCAGGAGCCATAGACGGCTGTGCAGGACACCTTATAATGACTGATAGTTTACGGCAGAGATACACCGCTGCTAGAAAAATATGAATCACAATTTCATTACGTCACAATACTATATACATTCAAAATAAACACAACCAATTTTGCTGACGATCTTGTGCGCGAATTTGCACCTAATTATCAGTGTTTATCTGAGTTCTTTCCAAGTGACTTCTTGACAAACTCCTTCTCATTTTGGTTCGCTTTGGTCTCCCTCAGAAGCTTCTTCTTGGCCATGAAGGATTTCCTCTTCGTCATCCTTGATCTTCCTCTTTTGTTCATGTTTCTTCTCTTGTGGGACATTCCTCTCTTCTTGGCTTGATGGACCAAGTAGTCTCCCCTTTTTCTCTTCTCCCAGTAGCCTCGTTTTCGTTTGTTCATGTTGTGAGATGACTTCTTCACCAATGATTTTTTATCAGCTTTTGCAAGGTTCAGGTTTTCAGTTTCTCTCTTCTCTGTCTTCTCATTTGGAGTGATGTCGGCAGAAATTTCTTTTCCCGCATCATCAGTATCTCGCCTTTTGCGAATCTGAATTACTTCCCCTCTTTTAACTCTCTCCAGCTCTGAAGAATCGGGATCCACTCTCTTTACTCTCAAAAGATTGTTTCCCCCTCTCTTTGTTCTCGAAAGCGCCATATTGTCATCCACATCGTGTCTCTTTTCGCGTGACAGTCCGGCATCCAGTACATCGTCTCTCTTCATGCGAGAGAGACCGTCATTTTCAGACAAATCCTGCCTTTTTTCACGAGATAAGCCAGGATTGTCGTCAAGGTCGCCCCTTTTCATTCGAGATAGTGCGGGATTTTCCAACTCGCGCCGTTTCTCGCGAGAGAGGGACGGCATTTCATCCAAGTTATGTCTCTTCATGCGTGACAATCCATCATTATCGGCAACATCTTGTCTCTTGATACGGGAAAGCCCAGGATCGCCAGCATCTAGTCGCTTCACTCTACTTAATTGAGATTCTAGATCCAAGTCTAAAGCTTGTTCACTTGACCTCTTTCCAATGGACGAACCCTGAAAATAAAACATATTCAAATGAGAAATCAATGTTAACAGAATTTGACAGGAATCTCTCAAAAGAGCTTCATTCCATGATCGTGTCTTGTTGTACATCACATGTGTTATCGAAATACATTCTCGACACATATTCAATATTTGTCAATGAGGTTATGTCTAAATTATTAAAGTTGTTATCAATTATAAAACGTCACGGACAGAATAATCAGTATCAATTATCTGCCTGATCATAATTCATTGGGCGTTAAAGGCAAAATACAAGTGAAAATAATTAAAATAGATCACAAAAAATCAGCGATGACACCATGTGTTCTCGAAAAGGGTGAGAATACATTTCACAATCATGTTTTAGTATAAACATGTATGTTATGATAGTGAACACATTTGATGAAACCAGTGAAATTTCGCCAACTCGATACATGTATATCAGTCAACATGATCTAACTTGATCCGTGTCTTATAGTTTTATATCGTTATACCTTTCCATATTGTTAAACAGATGTGTTCTTTCTCTACAACGCCCCCTTCTACAAACTTTCAAGAGTCGTGTGTAAGGGATATAGTTAAAAAAATTTTTAGTATGTCTGCTCAGTATCAAGATTGTCAGGCCTTCTCGAGGACATCCATTCATTGTTTTTTTCCGGTAAACAGAACACCACGAAAGCTTTACCATCACGCGTTTTGTATATTACAATCTCACAAAATAAATGTTTGACACATTTTAAATGAACTCCTCAGTCCAGACACAAAACAAGGAGAAGCATTACAGAAGACAGCTGTGTCACGTATCTAGTATGTTGCAACCACGGAGCAGTTTTATGTAGCTCTTAAAAAAGATTGTTATGACCATCATATGATGAACTAAACTGATTTAAGCATATGGCGTACAAAGGTATTATTTCCCCACAGTTGTATTATGATAACTAAGACAACTTTGAGATTTCGAGTCATTTATTGATCAGGAAATCTATCTCATGTTAGAGTCTCGTGAAAACGCCATCTGTTTATATGTGTCGTGTCAAAATGTGCGACAGCCTTCTCGGGAAGGATGATTAAATTTCCCAGGTGTGAACACAGATGATGAAGAAGAAGTAGATGAAGTCACTGCCGACAGGTCTAGCTTTTGTTGCAGTTGTTTGTCATGTTTCAGATGTGGTAGACAATGTATTTAAGTACACAGTGTTGTCTGTATAACTAGGATATACGACGACAAAATAGGTTTTTGTGTTGTGACAGTCATATACAATACAAAAATATAAATCAATATGTTTCATGCGGAAAAGAATAACAGTGCTTCATATTAAGTTGTGTAAATGTTATGTTATTGAATATAACAACATAATATTTAGTGACTCGTCTGGTCAATGTTTTATCATAACAAATGCATTGACAAAACCTATACCCGGTAACAGGAGGCAGAGTGACACACTCTTAAATAGAGGCGATGTAACAACTCGCAATGTCGACATCGGATGTGTCCGCCATTTGCGCTGATACAGGCGAGACAGCGGCAACTCCAGATGATTGAAAACAGCCAGGGAGATGTTGTTCCAAATGTCAACCGAAGATTGGTTCAACCTTACCGGCTGGTTCTGGTCCTGTTGTAGGGGTCGTTCCGTTCTCTCAGAGATGCCGGCTATGTCAGTACAGCAACGTAATGCTGTTTCAAAAGGTCTGTAACAACACGTGGAACACGAGGGCGGGCATTATTCTGCAGCAACGTGACCTTACGTCCCTGCATTTACAAAATGAAAGAACATCTGTGACGATGTCGTCCCGGTAGCGTACGCGATTCAAATTGCCATTAACAACGATGAGTTCTGTTGTCCAATGTGTTGGGGTTGCACCCCATTTCATTACACTTCCACTTGAATAACGCAAGGGTCGCTTAAACGTTCTGGACGCCTGCATCAGAACATCATCTGTGAACAGTACCCTGTCCCAGTCTGGTCAGGTGAAAGCCAAATTGGGCGTATCGCTGGACGTCGGGGCCAGATGTTGTGCTCCCTCAATTGCGTACGGTTCTACCACTACGGCCCAGGAATTCTCCGAGCTGTTAATGTGGCAGTTTGGTATGGATTCCATAGATGCACCAACCGCATAAGGTTGTCTTGTTGACATGACGTCTCAGTTGGGCATCCGGTGTTGTCCTGCTGTTGATAACCCCTCCAAAGAGATGATATTGTTTAATGATAACCATTAAAATGTCTAGTAACTTCGTTTTGCGCCATTCTTGTTACCAGCATACCCACGGCGCATAGACGCTGCTTTTCAGCAAGTCGTGGTGTTGGGTAAGCGTTATTTACGGTAAAAATGTTTTCCTGAGCACCTGGTAGGTACAATATCATCATGTGCTGTAGATATTCAAAACTCACGTGTGTGAGTATCATGCTCCCGACAATTACGCAGGCATCCAAATTGTGGCCATGCATGAAAATGCACGTGCAAAATGTGAATCACGTCTTTAAGACGAGGAGATGTCTTCATGAATATATTTTGAAAGAAGCATTATTTAAATTCAGAATATATTTATAGTTGTTGACCTTTATATGAAGCACAGTTTCATTTTCAGTTAGTATAAAACAATGTTATAAATTGTCTGTCGTAACAAAAACAAAACAAATGAAAACATTACATAAATCATTACGTTTAACAAAACATTAATGTTGACAATTAATGTTGACAAAAATGTTTTCTTTGAACCCTACTTACTTCGTAATGATTGATTCGGCTGATGATAGGGCAGACAATTTAACTATGTATCGCTGACTGTTTTTTTCCACTCAACTCGATGTCTACTATAGTCATTGTGTTTATTGTCAGAGTCAACGATGACGATGAGAATGATAACGAAACTCTACATGTATAATCCCTGAAATATTTATTTTGGCGGATGGAAATCTTGGAACCCTGTTCAACTGTTTTGCTGTACTGATGACCGTTCACGTGACAGGTTGCCATTACACGTCTAGGACATGAAGAAAACACATAATACCTCATGCCACCCTGAAGATCCGGGGTAGAAAAGGTCTTCACAACCCATGCCGTATAAGGCGACTATGCTTGTCGTACAAAAGAGGCGACTAACGGGATCGGGTGGTCAGGCTCGCTGACTTGGTTGATGCATGTCATCAATCCACATTGCGTGGATCAATGCTCATGATGTCAATCACTGGATTGTCTGATCCAGACTCGATTATGTACAGACCGCCGTCATATAGCTGGAATATTGCTGAGTGCGGCGCAAAACAACAAACCATACAAAATCTGTTACAGTTTGTAAAAGTTGCGACCCGCGAAAACACTGAAACATGGTTTATCTGGATAGTACAGTTACCAGTGTAATCAACGTGATAACATACATCACATAATGTGTCATGGGTAAGTGGTGGTGTGTCTGTAATTTTGCATTGACCTTTCCAGCAGTAGTCGACTTTTGGGGTTGACGACCTTACAGGGTCCAGTCTGACGAGGTTTGACTGTATTCTCTTGCTGAAGCATGTGAGATTTTCTTTGACCTACATCCACTCTCAAACACTATGACATTTCCCATGTGAGAGACAGATGAAAGCTGTTAGTCGTGGCTGTCCCCCCGGTTGGGTTGTCATCAATTTGAGCGATGTGACCTACATGCAAGGTATCATGTTGCAGCTGACCGGGAATGAATTATGATAAACTATATGTGCATGCATTTAGTACGGTGGATCCGTGGTATTATTCAAACTCGTGCATTGTCGTGTTAATGACAAATGATTTTTTTTATTTAGTATGTTCGGCCTCATTACCCATGGTACTTAATGACTAACAGTAATGTGCGCAGCAACATCACTTTAAATAGAACGCCATTTCCTTACTGCCGTGTACCGTGTATGGTTACACTCTTCAGTTACGAGTACAGTAGACTACGGTTTAAACGAACACGCTTATAACGAACTGACGGATACAACGAACTTACTTTTCGGTCCCGACTATTTGCTGTAGTTATGCTGTATATCTGCTTATAACGAACTACGGTTATAACGAACTAAAATTAGTAGTCCCTCTGAGTTCGTTATAACCGTAGTTTACTGTATGTATGACTGAGTGAGTATGGTTTTACTCCGCTTTTAGAAATATTCCATCAATATCACGGCCGGGGGCACACATTGTACCCATGCCGGGAATCGAACCCGGGTCTTCAGCGTGACGAGCGAACGCTTTGACCAGTAGGCTACCCGACCGCCCCCAGTATTTATGAGCTTGTGATGAAAGTGGGCATCAGAAGTAAATACATGTTTACCTTAGAAGGGTCAAAGAAACTCAATCAAAGGTTTAAGATATGTTATGTTTAACATCGTTAACATCGTTAACAATTCCTCCTAAAACCTAATCACAGTTTTACTCCTTTCACCCAAAAAAATAACTGCTGAATCCAAATTTATTTTTGAACATTACTTAATTCCCCAGTAAGAAGTGTTTCAGCGATACTTAAAAAGATTATTGATTTCGTTTTTTCTTTGTTACGATTTTTTAATAATTTGATTTCAGTACGGCGGGTTCGGGTGAAAACACTGCAGCCCCCTTGAAGAGTAAAAACACGAGACAGCAATCAGGTTTGTATCAAGAGCCCAATTAATGAGACTGAAGCACCAGAGGTGCCCTCCGGGTGTGATAAAAATACCCGAGGTCGGTCATTTTGATTGATTGGAAAGAACTGGATGCTCCGTCGTGCACTTAAAGTCTGTGAGGATGCCATGGTGACGTAACGCCAAAGCGTTGCCTTATAAATGGTTATTTAAAAAAATTAAATATTTTGGACTTCGTTATTGCAAGCCATATTAGGGTCTCTCCTATGGTAATAAAAGAAATGTAGGACGATCGCAACATTTTTCAACTATCCATGAGAAGGTGTTGTTCACGATTGTGTTACAGTAAGCCCTATTAGGGTCTCTCCTGTGATAATAAAATAAATGTAGGACGATAGCAACATTTAAAACTATCCATGAGAAGGTGTTGTT